ATGAAAAGAGAAAATAACCTAGAAAGTATGAGGAAAGTACAAATATATATGTACTTCTTTTTTAAAAAAATATATTTTATTGATTTTACACAGAGAGGAATTGAGAGGGATAGAGAGAAACGTCAATGAGAGAGAAACATTGACCAGCTGCCTTTTGCACACCCCCACTGGGGATGTGCCCGCAACCAAGGTACATGCCCTTGACCGGAATTGAACCCAGGACCTTTCAGTCTGCAGGCCAACGCTCTATCCACTGAGCCAAACCAGTTTCGGCTATATGTACTTCTATTATTTATGTTTCTACTTATGAATCTTAGATCATAAGCTCATAGCAAAACAAACAATAATGAGTGAATTTCTTCTAATCTTTTAGATTTGCTTGCTTTACTTCAATGACTTTGAATACAGAATTTAATGTCATTTCAAATTATTCTTTTCTGCATCAAATAAAAAGTGACTATTCTTTGTTGATTTATATCCATTTTTACTCTTCTAAAGGTTTTGGAGAGTGTATATGAGATCATTAAGAAGCAAGTTAAAGCCATTGATGCAAAAATCATTTTGCATTTTTGTCTTCTTGCATAGTATCTGTGTCTCATCAGTGTTAGCCAGCAAAACACATCTTTTCCTCTTTTCCATACTTGGACCGATGAGGACGTGGGGCTTGAATGCAGGGGAAAGATGTGCTGGTCCCTCTTCTTTTCTAGGGAGGATACTTAGGGCCTGCCACACATTTCCAACTTTTTATTTTTTATGCACTGGCTGGGACCCTCTAATTGCTTTACAAGGGTGAAGTCTTGTCTATACAAGAGGCTTCTGATGCTCCAATACCTTTAGAAGGTCCAAAGGGCTGGCACCTTTCATTCGTCGGGTCAATGGAAGCTACATGGATGCTTCATGACAGACACTATTCTAGGCACTGGAAAAAACAGCACCACACACAGACCAAGCCAACGCTGTCAAAACGCCCACCTTCCAGTGCTCAGAGGCAGAAAATGCACAATTACACAAATATATTTTATATCTGCACAAGTTCGAGAAAGAAAAATAAAGCCAGCTAAGTCGGCAAAGAAAGGCAGAGTCCAGGGATGGATGCTTCCAGGAGGAAGGACATTCCAGGCAGAGGGAACAGCAAGCACAAAGGCTGCTCAGCAAGAAGCTGGAGGGGCTGGAGCAGAGCGTTGTGAGGGCTGAAGGGGAAGAGATGGTAAGAGAAGAGATGGTGAGGGGATGTGGGTCACCTCCTGTAGGGACCTGAAGGCCATGGTGGGGATTTTGGTTTTCAGTGAAAAACCACTGAAGGGCTTTGAGCAGGAGTGACATGACTTGGGTTTAAATGAACGGAAGTCTGATAATTTTCTATGCTGTTTAGCTAACCACCCAGGGAAGGTGGAAGAGATGAATGGAAAGACAACAGGCAGGGTTCTACTGTGGTGGTGCTGGTGAAAAGTGGTCCGATCCTGGGATGGTCCGATCCTGAGATGGATGGGAGGACATCAGGAAAGCAGGAGAGGCACCAGGGATGAAGGAGGGCCCAAGCACCTGAAAGCATGGTCACTGGGATAGGAAGACCCGGGAAGAAGCAGGTTTGTGAAGGGAAACCAAGGGTCCGGCCTTGGTCTTTTAAGTTTGAGCTCCTGAAGATCAGGCTGAATGGGAAGCTGGATGCAAACATCCGGATTCCAAGAGAGAATGGGCCTAGGGATGCAAGTCGGGAATCACCAATGCACAGACGTATTCAAGCCGCAGGCCTGGCTGAAATTACCGAGGAAATGACAGGTGTCTTTCCATGAACCATGTGAAGTCTTTCACAGCTAAGCATTCACTTAATCTTCCTAACAACTCTGAGGTCACTGTTCTATCATTATCCTCATTTCACCGAGGCACAGAGATGCTTCCGTGTCTTCCTCGAGGGCAGTGGGGGAGGGAGAGAGGAGGAGATGTGTGAAGAGGAGAGGCTCAAGAAGTGAGCTCCAGGGCTAGGGAGTCAAGAAGATAAGCAGGAGCCAGCCAGGAGCCTTGAGGGGAGAGAAACCAGGGCTCATGGCATCCCAGAAGCCAAGCCAAGCAAGTGTCCCAGGCAGGCAGGGTGGGCCTACCGTGTTTGACGATGCCGGTAGGTGAAGTGGGCTGCGAAGTGGGAACTGACTATTGGGTGGAAAAAAGGGACTGGTGCACTCTCGCTAACCTGATTTGGAAATGCACTCTCTCCCATTTTGAATGCAGGCAGAGAAATCTCAGCAGCTGAAACTTTGCCCCCAACCAAAACTCTAGATGTTTCCATGGTCGGCGCAGAAGTATTGCTTATTCTCTCCTCTGCTTCCAGAGGACAGCAGTTCGTAGGCCCACTGCCAGACCTCACCATTTGATGTATTAGTAAAGAAGTACCAATGTTATGAAATCATGCATTTTTACATTCTAATCATTGTATTCCACTATAATTGTTTTCCCCTCGTCCATTCACATATTTTTGTTTTTATGCATTCAAAATATTAATCTGAGAAGGGGTTCATAACACAAGAAGAGGTTTCAGATCTCAAGCTCATCTCACTCTGAACCACGAAAAAGCAACGAAGAGCCAATGCAGGGTGGGGAACCGGCCTGTCACTTAATCCAGCTTTCAACAAACTAGGGAACCACAGACACTTCCTGGTGATGGTGGGTGGAGTGGGTGAGGTCATATCACAGCTCACACTCACCAACCATGAGGCTGCAAAAGGCCACTCACTGCCAGGCATCTGTGCAGCCACCAGAACACGCCCAGCTAAGGTCCTGAGGGGCCACCTCGGCTGATTCTTCTCTCTCCACTGTTTCCACTGGAAGTGGCCCTGCCTGCTCCCCTGTTCCTCCTGGGCTGCTCCGGGCTGGGCTGACCTGCTGCTCCCCTGTGACCACCCACAGCTCTGCTCCGCCTTCACTGTGAAAACAACACCATGTCCTCCGTCCCTCCTGTCATTGGCAAAATGGAGGAATTAATAGCAAAGTCACCACTCCAAGCTTCTAAAACTCAGCGAGAGACACCAGCACAGGAGCCACAGCCTTATTAGTCAGACTTTTACCACAAAATACGGGTCTCCTATCAGCGGAAAGAGCGTCCTAGTGGAGCTCAACCTCACAGTGCAGTTAGGAGCTTCAAGGAGTTCCAGTGGAAATGCATTGAGAACAGTGACTGGCACAAGGTCAACACCACATGCATTGTTAAATCAAGACAATCTTGCCTTTTTCTTTCTTTCCCATCAAAGACAGTGCCAAGTAAAATGCCTCTGACGTTTCATAAATCCAGTGTTAATCAATACAGCATTCAAGAATACATATCAACCTGATAAAATAAAGTTACAGTCACTCTTCAATTTAAAAAGAAAAAGACTAGAAACCATGTTAAAGATTAAATGTAGCCCAGCTCTCCCACTTCAATGCCCACTGCAGTCAGAGACCCAGCTGTTGCCAGCCCTTATCGCATTATTACTCCCTCCAGCAGGCCTAGCATCTCCGTGGCTTATACACTAGAAGGGTCCTGTCTGTTCTCTGCAGAGTTTGGGGTCCATCTTGTAGTACTGTTTCCTGGATGTGGGGAAATCAGTGCTATGAACTCTCTCTTCTTTACTCTTTTGTCATCAGCCTGGAGCCCCAATTTATTTTTAGCTTAGTAATGAAAAGGGTGAGGAGAAATCCCCTGGCTAAAGTTCCACGGAGTTCAGAACTTCTCTGAATGTGAGGTGGAAAGAGAATCAGAAATCATGGTGTATTTGTCCAGATTATGTTGGGGGATGGGGAAAGAAAGGGGGATTTACCAATTGAAGCCATTCACATTGAAATCAAGAGAAATTATAGAATGCCTAGTTGCGCTCCAAGTGGCTTGGGGGCCATCTGGTCTATCCCTGTCATTTTGCAGAGAAGGAAATGGAAAGCACAATGTCCACACCTGCGGGAGAATGTAGTTCCTCCAGAGACATAGGAGTTAAAGCACCACCTTACAGCTGCCAAGTGCCTCCCTGGGATTGCCACTCTCTCTTCAGGCGAGGGCAGGGAACAAGTCCTGTCAGTTTGAAATTTGCCTGGACAGCCAAACCCAGCTGGTTCCCCTGCCTGTCTTTGCAGTACCACTCCGACTCCTGCCTGTCTCAAGACTCCTGCAAACAAATCCTACTGGGTGAAGCTCCCCCTCACCCTGCACAGGCAGCCTCATTTCCTGGGAAAAGAGGCACACGGATTACAAATCTGGCCTCTCAAGCACCAAATGCCCACGCCTTTCAGCAGTCAGGATATTCTGCTGTTTTGCTAGCAATGAAGTACACAGTCCAAGAGCTGGATAAGGCTTGACCAGCTCCTCCAACCTGTCCCCCCCCCCCCAATCTGGCACCTCCAATCTCCAGATAAAGATCTTACTTTATCTACTCTAAGATCATTAATCTATCTACATTTAAGATCATTCTCCAGATAAAGATCTTACTACCAACTCTGACCCATGAAAAACGTTCACAGCATACCAAGCTCAACCAGGACAACCCACTGCCTCCCCTTTCTTAGTCATGTACAGTCACATCCAACCGTCAGAGCGCGGGCTGCACTGCAGGCTAAGGCTATGGTGAGTGCTGGGGGTTTTCTGACCTGAGAACGCAAAATGAGTCCATCCTCTGAGCGCTCCCCTTTAAGCCTCCTGGAGACTGACACAGGCTACACTGAGCTCTATTTGGCGCGTGGAGGATCCTGCTGCGTTATTGTTTCCATCACTGTGAGTAGGTGGATGTGGCAGATAGAGTTTTAGGTTTCCGGGTTCTGGTGCCAGGAGGAAGGGAAAGGTTGTAGAGTTCAAGTGCCTTCGCAGGGATTAAAATAAACAAGCAGACAACTGGTGCCTAGGCCACTCCCACCTCCTCCAGGGTTTCATCGGGAGCCGCCACCACATTCCCAGTTCCCAAACTGGAAGAGCCCCGGACACGGCAATCCTCAACACGAAGAGGGTCCACTTAGCTCCCGCCTCGCCACATCGCCTCTGTCACCTGTGGGCTTCGGTGGGTCCCAGGCCATTTTCCAGGCTGACATCCGTCTGCACCATCTCCCGCTTCAGTTCTCCGATCTGCGAGGCGATGGTGTCAATCAGCTATTCAAAGACAAAAATAGTGTGACGTCAGGAAGTGGAAGTGAAGAGGCGTGCCCAGGGCTTGGGGAGCTGCAGACACTCCAGTAGGTAGGAGCATACAGATGACAACCCCTCCCCCCCCCCTTTTTTTTTAAACCATGAATTTCCTCTACTCAGAGGAAAGAAATAAAAAGGGAGGGAGCAGCTTCTTCTTAGAAAGAGGAAGGACTTTGGTTTCGGTACTGCCCTAAGAAGAATAATATGACGCTCAGCTTGGTTTCCCTAAGAGAACACAAAAAGGAATAAACAAATCCTGGTCAAATCAGGCCTCCACACTCATCCTGTCAAGGTAAATTCCCAGGATTAAAACTTACACAATCATCATCCTGGCTACAGAAATAAGCATAGTTTAAAGACATACATACACACATCTTGCAAATCAATTCCCAAGGACACTAAACTTATTTCTCACTTTATTTATTTATTTATTTATTTATTTATTTTTTCTGGTCAGAAAAAACTGTTAAGGAAAAGGGAGGAGAGGGGCAGCATGGGTTGGAAGTGTGTGAGTGGGTGGGTGAACCATGAGGAGAATGGAAGGAGAAAGGCGTGGTCTTATGTCCTCTACCCACATGCTGGGCAAGGGCTACATCTGTCCCTAAAGTTTGGTCTGAATTCTTGAGCCCACATATATCCACTCATTCAACAGACTCTTTCCTGGTTATAATTAGGTGCTGTATGTGGAAAGCGGCTCTGAAAGTGTGCCCCTGCTCAGGAATTTTTTAAAAATGTTATAAAATGTTACTGATGTCAACATGTAACTGCTTATTTTTAAAATAAATATCTTAGTGTTTTCTTCATTTACTTTCGAATACAGCAAATATTTATAGATAAGTCCACATGAACACAGGGGCTTTGAATCCTCCATCATTTTTAACAGTGTGAAGTAAGTAGTCCTGGGACTAAAAGTTTGAGAATCACGACTCTAGCTAAAGACGTGTTGCATTGCCTCCAGCAGCTTTTATCCCACCCAGATGCTGGTAGAAATTTCATTTGATGACCTGTCCCTAGGCTATTCTAGATTGTTGACACCATCAATTCATTCACTAATTCAACCGGATTCTGTGGCCACCCACTTCTTGCCAGGCACTACAAGTATAGAGTAAGGTTGACAACTCTCATGGAGATGATATCCTGGTGGGGCACAGACCATAGCACTTTGCACTAAGAAGTTCCAGAGTGAGCCCAGCTGGTGTGGTTCAGTGGTGTAGCATTGACCTATGAACCAGGAGGTCATAGTTTAGAGCCGCATATAGCTCGTGAGCCACAGTTTGCCGACCACTGCCCTAGATTATTCTAAATTGTTGACCCCATCAATTCATTCACTAATTCAACCAAATTCTGTGGCCACCCACTTCTTGCCAGGCACTACAAGAATAGAGTAAGATTGACAATTCTCATGGAGATGATATCCTGGTGGAGCACAGACCATAGCACTTAGCAATAAGAAGTTCCAGAATGAGCCCAGCTGGTGTGGTTCAGTGGTTTAGCATCGACCTATGAACCAGGAGGTCATGGTTTGATTACAGGTGAGGGCACATGCCTGGGTTGTGGGGCATGCAGGAGGCAGCCAATCAATGATTCTCTCTCATCATTGATGTTTCTATCTTATTCATCATTGATGGTTTCTGTCTCTCCCCCTTCTTACCTCTCTATGAAATCAGTAAAAATATATTTAAAAAAAAGAAGTTCCAGAATGAAAAAAGAATAGGGTGATGCTATAGGAACGAACTACTGTATAGCTAGGGTAGGGTGGTCAGGACAGAACTTGGAAGAAGTGGTGGATCCCTGAATGACAAGGTAGCCAGGAAAGATCGAGGGAGGAGCCCTCCACACAGAGGCTGGAGAGGCATTGTGGAAGGAGAGGCAGGCAGAAACCAGATCTCTTTGGCCTTCTAGATTACAGAAACCTAGAATTTGAGTTTTTGATACTAGGAACCATTGGGGGGGGGGGTTACGTAGGAGGATGGCATTTTACTTTTTTTATGTCCTGGAAAGAGCGCCTTGGCTGCTGGCTAGAGATATTTGTAAGGGCAAGAGAACAAATAGCAAGACCAGCGAGGAGGCAACTGCAGTGATCCCAGCAAGAGATGATGGTGGCTTGGACCAAGGTCGAGGGAGCAGCAGTGGAAGTGGAAAGAAGGGGGGAAACTCGGGAACAGTATGACATAGAAATCGAATTGAAAGATGGGGGGAAAATGGGGAAGGATCAGACTTGAGGAGGAAATCTAATTGGGCAGTGGGCAGGTTAAGTTTTAATGGAGTTGTACTAGCCATCAATTAAATGTGTTAAGTGGCTTTTGACATTCATGATGGAGCTATTTATACATTTAGAAGCCACTGGCCTACGTGTCAGTATTTCAAAGTCCTTTGTCAGGAGAGATTATCTAAGGGGAGAGTGTAGATGAAGAAGGTGTCCCCACAAGTAACTCTGTGCATTCCCAACACCTAGAGGTCAGAAGGAAGGCCTCTCTGTTCTCCATGCTTGATCCACCCTCTTTGTGTGTGACTGGGTGGGGGCTGTGGGTGTTTCTAGAAGCACTGGGCTTTAGAAGAGAAAATGACCAGGAGATCTCATTTGACACACTTCCCAGTGGCAAAATTTTAAAAGTGTGATAATATTTGATAATATGGAAAAATAGGAACTCATATGCTGCTGGGGAGTACTGCTCACAGAGTCACTTTGGAGAGAAGTTTGCAATATCTTGTAGAGCTGGAGATACACAGACCTCCTAGTTACACAGGGTGCAGGGAGACCTTTATGAGAATATTTGCTGCCCACTACTTTTAAGAAAACCAAAGTATAAGCACCTATTGGTTCATCGATAGAAGAATGGGTAAACTGAGGTATAGAATACTATATAGCAGTTAAAATTAATGAACCAGAGTGTTAACGAAAAAACATCCAGTGTAAGAAAAAGTCTTGTTAGAGTTTAGTTGAGTCAAGCTGATGACAATTGCCAGGAGGAAAAATCTCAATGGATTGAGAAAATATTCGGGAGAATGGCAGTTCTACAGCTTATTTTATACATTAGAATCAAAAGAGGAGATGTAAAGGGTGTGTGTGTGTATGAAATCCATTGGTGGTAGATTACAGAGGCAGGAACAAACAGAGTGGGGACATCTCTGAGCTTAGATTAAAAAGTAAAAGGAAGAGAAACATACTTATTTTATATTATGTCAAGTGGCTTTTCACATTCATGATGGAGCTATTTCGGTGGATACAGGATAGTTAACATTCATAGCACACAGAGATGGTATGTGAGCCACAAGATAATATGGTATCACCCTCTGGTGCCAGCAGTTGTGCCTGCAGGGCTCTAGATACTTCCAAGATATGTTATCTTAGATGCCCAAAGACAACAGACAATTTTAAAGATAAGGACTGACCTTAATAAACAAAGCCATAGCCTAGGATTACCCACTGTGACCCATTGTTAGTTAGGGATTTTTATTTCAGACCACCCTCAGTGGAAAATCACAGGTAACACCACTTGGTTTCTGGATTTGTAAGGCCCACCATGGGGCCTTCACTGAACTTGTCAGATTTAGAATGTGGCCCCTGTTTTGTCCACAATAGCTATATGCATCAAGACATATATAAATATAAAAATTCAAAAGTCTTCGTTAAAAATAAAGATAATAGCCAAGATATGGAAGCAACACAAGTGCCCATAAATAGTTGAGTAACAAAAAAGCTATTATATATATATATCTATATATCTACATATCTATATATATCTATATATCTACATATCTATATCTATATCTATATCTATATCTATATCTATATGGATATTATTCAGCCATAAAAAAGAATGAAATCTTTAACCATTTGCAACAGCATGGATTAATCTAGAGGGTATTATGCTCAGTGAAATAAGTCAGTCAGAGAAAGACAGATACCATTTAATTTCATTTATATGTAGAATCTAAAGAACAAAATAAATGAACAAACTACCTGAAACAGACTCCTAGACCGAGAGTGGACTAGTGGTTATCAGAAGGGATGGTGGTTGGGGGACTGGGAGAAAGAGGTGAGGGGATTAAGTACAAGTTGGTAGTTACAAAACAGTCACAGAAATGTAGGTAAAGCACAGGAAACAGAGCCAATAACATTGTGATAACTATGTACAGTGCCGGTTGGAGTACCGGAAGTATCAAATATTTTACATTGAACACAATGTAAAATATCTGATTGTCTAAGCACTAAGCTTTACATCTGAATCCAATAAAAATAAAATTGAAAGAAAAAAAATCATTAAAAAAAAAGAGAAGCTGAAAATGGTTGCATTCAGTGTATAAGTTTAAAACCACATAACATTGTATTACTAAGTGTCTGTAGATACACACATAGATAAAAAGACTACTCCAATATGCACTGTGGGGTTACACTCTTAACCCAGGACAACGACTGATTATCTCCAGAGAAGAAATAGATGGAGGTAAAGGAGCTTAAACACGTGAGATTTTTTTTTTTTTTAAATTGATGGGAGCTAGACAAAGAGAAATATGGATATGAAAGAGAAACATGGATTGGTTGTCTCCCCACGTACCTCAACAAAGGATAGGACCCAAAACCTGGGTATGTGCCCTGCCTGGGAATCCAACCTGCCACCTCGTGGTGCACGGGATGGCACTTCCAACCACCTGAGCCATACCAGCCAGGGGGAGATTTTATTTCTTAAATGAAATGGCAAACTGATAAGATTTGACAGAGCTAGTGATTGTTTTTAGTATTATATGGCATATCTTGTATGTTTAAAATACTTCAGAATCAAAGTCTTAGAAAAATAAGAAAAGAGGCGGATATGTATGAAACTGGGAGGAGATGGAGGGATGAAGAAAATGGGAGGAAGTGGGATGAGTCAGGGGAGTCTGAGTGTCTGAGCCAAAGCCCTACCACTCTAGGCTGGGGAACTCCCCTCCCATTCTTGGTCACGGCTGTGATCTTGGTCACA